CACACACACACACACACACACACACACACACACACACACACACACACGCAAACACACACAAACACACACACACAGTGTTGAAAAAGGCCTCCACTCCAAAACACAAAAGATGAAGGACTGACAAGAAGGTGGACAAGGTTCATCTTCTCTTTAAACCCCCATCAACTACCCACCCAACACGCACACACACACACACACACACACACACACACACACACACACACACACACACACACACCCAACCCCTTGTGCTCTCTCAGCCGTTTCCTTCAGTATATGTGACATGGCCTTCGAACCGCTGAATGGCCTCACTTATGAACCAGTTTTGGGTGATTGTTGGGAACTATTTAACAGGGGTAGACTCCCACACGCAGATGCACACTGTAATGGCAATTTCCAGACCCCATGTATTCTCCAATGCCATAGGTCCACACTGGTCAGTATACTGTTCTGAACCACATATACTTTGTCCACATTGCCCAAACAGAAACCTTACATGTTATACTTCTCTGAAAATACATGTTATGCCTCTGCAAAGGGCAAGCCCTGAGTGCCTTACTCAATATTCAAGGACAGGATGAGATAGGTGGCCCGTGTCATCTTTTTAAGATGCTGTCTTTGCACCGGTTCAAGATAATGCGTAGCTCACCGCCTCTCTGATCTCACTGATTGTCAGTTTGTATAAAAATTTACACCTCATGTGCTCATGGCACATTCACTCAGCTCATTTATTCGATTGTGATGTGAGTCCATCTGAAGATGCTGAATTAAACTAACAGAAAGAAAATAAATTGCCACCACAACACACACACACACGCACGCACACACACACACACACACACACACACACACACACACACACACACACAAGGAGGAACTGTTGATTTGCCTTGTTTTGTTTGGCCATCATTTAAGATGTCTGAATATTGCCTTAGGATGAAATTGCAAGCAAGACTAAGTGAGAACAGTTACTGGAAATCTGTTTGTTTGTTTGATGACTGATTAAGAAGAACAGAAAATACTATGGCCATCTGTAAATGCCTACACTAGTACACTTTTCTGAAACACACACACACACACACACACACACACACACACACACACACACACACACACACACACACACACACATTCCTCTTATTGGAATGCTTTAAAAAAGCCAAAAGCAATTCTAAAGAAACTGTGTCCAGAGCAAATTTATTGCACCTGATGTATATGGAAACAAAAATATAAAAGAAATACCAAATTGCTGCATGACCATAAATATCTAAATTATGCATTATCTTGCAAACATTTGTTCATCTTACATCATTAATGACAAACAAATAAACAAATACATTATCCACTTCCTTTTAAAAGGTTACTTCCCGCATTTGAATTTGCCCTGTGTGCACATATTTCCATAAACTCATGCATTGTGCATGCGGATAAAAAAAAAAGTAGAAAAATCACTGAATAGTCTGTTAAATTATACATTTTAGCACTGAGTGGCTGTGTACGTGTGTGTGTGTGTGTGTGTGTGTGTGTATGTGGAGTAAATAAATGATAGGGTCATACCTGTGAGCCACTACACCAAGCAACTGGTCAGGCAAACAAAAGCAAAGCTGTTCGCTAAGTACAAATAACTGCAAAACACATCAAAAAACAATCATGCACGTGGCCTCTCTAGGTCTGATAATTCTCCACAATTTTCGCCGGTGCCCTGATTCTTTCTTTGACATTGTGTGGCAGTGGCAGGGGGCACTGATGTGAAAATCTTAAAAGGATTAGGCAGGTTGGTGTTGCCAGCCAATTGGTGCTTGTCAATCTCGGAGGCCCCTGTGTGTTCCCTCTCTCTCTTGGTCCAAGCTGCCTTTCTCTCTATCGGTCAGGCTTAATGTCTGAAGCTTAAATGGACACACTAGCCTGTCCCTCCGGTGTGACAGAGTGACAGGTGGCAGATCAAGACATGAGGACAGAGAAAGGAGACAAAGACAGCGAGGAACAGGCGGCTCGAGACCGAGGCAGGAGGGGGAAAGAGCCATGTAGGCAGGGATTAGGAAACAAATAAGAGTGGAGTGACAGGAATGTGGAAACACACAGGCAAGTCATATGGATGCATTTGGCTACTGTCGTACCTCCATCATGTTTTCATGGTTTGTTTCTTTGTCTTTGTTTTGAACTGACAAGTCATTCTCATTGCTTCTTTGGATGTATTTTTTTTGTACACCCCAGTACATGTTAGTTATCATAATAGTCCAAATTGAACTGAGAGTGAAATGTGTGTTAAGTATTGGCCGAGTAACACGGCTGGTATTTCATTTACAGAAACTGAAACAAGAGTCAGCAAAGCAAAACAGAAAAAAACACCTCCTGCAGGATAAGTAAAAACAGAAATATGCTAATATATTGCAGCAGTAAGTAGTGGCACACACATTGCATGGGGTTGGGGTTAGGCCCTAGTTAAGCAGTTGGGTTTTTATGGGTGCTGGCTGGGCATCTTTCCAAAAGTATCCCATGCCTTATCCAGGTTTCTGCAGAGAGAGAGAGGGTGAGAGACAGAGAGAGACAGACAGAGAGAGAGAGGGAGAGAGAGAGAGAGA